TTCCTAATGCTTGTAGTTTAAAGGTTTGGTTGACTTGCTTGCTTTGTTTGTATAAATGTTTGCTCAATCTTAATTATAATGCTTAAGCAAACATTTATACAAACAAAGCAAGCAAGCCAACTACACCTTTAAACTACAAGCATTAGGAAAAAAGCTCTCATAATGTTTAATTTATTAGTATGCGATGTAGATTTAGACCGAAACAGAAACTTTGCTTTTTTCTGTGACGTGGATTGGCTTAACTTTCCAAAATATATGTATTCAATGATGGCGTATCATAGGGAAGGATAAATTTTATCCTACATATAGATCTGGATCTGGACAAATTATTAGAGAAAATAGATTTGACTATATTAACAATAAATGCCATTTTTGGGGAATTTATTGATATATTACCTCAGACTTTCACTCACTAAGTATGCATATATAATCAATCCTTCTGACTTCATAAATTTTGTTAGAGAGTCGGCTGAATTAAGACTTTATATAATGAAAATTAATTAATTTCCTTCTGTGAAAATGCATCGCATATACAATAGAATGAATCGCCCTACAGTGAAAATGAAAGTCTAGTATCATTATTCGACAGTAAACATGAATCGCATAACGAAAACAACATAGTGGAATTTGATTCAATATCAACAAGCTGAATAACAAAACCTGTTTTAAGTTATACAACATTCATAATCATGTTAAAAGGTACATTTTTCTACAAATGAAACTTAACTGCTACTTTGAAATCTCTTGCACGCTCTGTTCGTGAACTTTTCTTAACATTTATCTATTTGTGTATCAATTTTGCACCTGGATGGCTGTAGGCGCGATGAAAACTCGTCCGCATCTCATACCAATATCATGAATTTATAAAAACAGTACACATTATATATTATCTGTTATTTTATTCAAAAATCATGAATTTGTCGTCTGTTTATTTATCATTCTACATCAGAAATTCATCACGGATACAGTGAAAATGACATTTCAGGATTCGCACATTACATACACTGGTGTGATATATCCAATCACAAATGCCTTTTTCAATTTTAAGTCATGCTGTCAAAATGTTTATATTAAAAAAAATTGTGCATTAATACAACGAGGGGTTGATTGCTTATTAAATCCATTTAAACATAAAAAAGCATGTTTAAACATAAAATAAGCATGTTTAAACACTGAAATGATTTAAGAACAGTTATACTTATATGCCGGTGTGGTGTCCACTCTCCTCGGTGCCAATATAAAAATAAGATGTGGTGATATGATTGCAAATGCCACAACTCAACACCAGAGACCAAATAACGTAGAAGTGAACAACTTCATGTAACAGTATACGGCTTTCAACAATGAGCAAAACCCATACTGCGTATTAAGCTACAAAAGGCTATAAAATGACAAATGTTAAACAATTCAAACGAAAAACTAACGGCCTGATTTATGTACAAAACAATAAACGAAAAACAAATAAGATATAAGCAACAAACGGCAACCACTGATTTACAGGCTCCTGACTTTGGATAGGCACATTAAGAATGTGGCGGGGTTAAACATGTTTGCTGGGGTCAAACCCTCCCCAATCTGGGACAGTGGTGTAACAGTGCAACATAAGCACACACTATAAAAATCAGTTGAAAAGGCTTAACTCATCAGATCGATACAAAGCACACAAAAAAAAACAATAAAAAACAAAAGAAACAAAGTACAGATCTTAGAGTACTCACAGTTATTGAAAGCTAGTTCAAAGCCAATAACAACTACTAGTAATAAAAAAATCATGTATCTAAGATTAAAAAAACAATCAATACACATCCTACATCCAATGGATTTAGTGTAAAGACGTCATTAACAGTCCAATAAATGTAATAGCAAGATGCATAATTTTATATGGTGTCATGATTATGTTAAGCAGAATTTATGAATCCTGGATTGATAATATCAATAGCTTAATAATATTGCTTATATGCAAAGATATCTGAATTTGCATAAATTTTTATGGTTACTTCTGTTTTCTTAGAGAAAATACGAAAATAACTTTCAGAAAACACTACGGCCTCTAAATTTTATGACAAATTCAACTTTCTGAATTTAAACGGTTGTTCCTCAAGTAGAAATTTAATTAAAACTCTTAATTTAAGTGTCGGAAAATTTTACTGACTGCATGGATCGTCACTTGCCAAGTTTACTATACAATCGATTGGCATCCATAAAGTCACCAATTCAATTGGTGCACGACCAAACATAAACAAAGTGAGCGAGTGCGGAGATCTAATTCTAAGTACATTGTTAAATCCCTTGGTTGTGTATTTCTTTGTGTGTTCCTTGTTTGCTCTATAAAGATGATCCAGATGAATAAAAATGACAGTTCAGACATTTTTTGACGATTTGGCGTCTATCAGTGCACCCCTTTAAGACAACTTAGATTACCCATATTCAAAATCGAACAATCTCTTTACAAGACCAAAACAGTATTCCAAGTAGTTTTAGATGAAAAACTATTTTGTTTTATTTTGATAACGTCTATTACAGAAGGTCTGGATGTGGGGTTCTTCATTTCTTAATTCTTTAATTTTTAGACCATTTTTCTTTATTCTTTATTTGTTTTGTCCATTGTTCTCTATTCTTTGTATTTTAGCACCCCATTATTCTTTATTCTATTTTTTTCACTATTCTTTATTTTTTTCCCCTTTATTCTGCACTGTTTGTCCATTATTCTCTATTCGGGAAACCCCATCCAGAGCCTCATTCTCACAGAGAAAATAATATGGAACTGTAGACTTATGATGAAATGCCGTTGCAAAGGTAAGACACATGCCATTCAAATACTTCTAGGGATGAATTAAATAGCATTGCAACGAATAAAATCATTGATAGGCAATCTTCAATACTTAGACACCGTTTGAGGTAATGAAACCAACTTTTCTGGAGGGAACAAAATTGTACTTGAATGTTTTAGAACTGAGCTAGATAAGACTATCATATGCTGATTAAAAACTATATCACTAAAGTTAAATTATTAAAGATGTATTTTATGGATTAATTTTCATCAATTTTTAAAATAGACAGTATCCTTCAGATGCCAGACGTGATAAATAACATATCTTTCTTAAATTGTCCGTTATAAATCAGAAATTATAAAAAAAAACAAGGTTTTAACTCCCTAAGGCAAAGTTGACCTTAGATGACCTGAGATGGATTTGGCTATTATTTGTATGTCTTTTTTTTTTTGTATAGCTTTTCACCTGTTTCGGTTCTTATACATCCTAGCTTGGCTTTCAAATATTCGGCTTTGAGCATTCTTGTAGATGGTAAATCCAGAACAGCGCTTCGGACGTATATTTATTTAGTGTTATTTTACACTTATTCCATATAATAAATCATTAATTTTCTGTAAATGTAAGCATAAACAACTAGCGGTTGTAGAAAACAGAGGGGCATAGCTTGGCCTAGTTTTTTTTTAAATGGGGTGGGGGGAAAGCAAAAAAAATAAATAGACAATGTATTCAAAACTCGGTAAAAACTGCCAAATGAAATAGTTAAGGAAATGATCTCAGACCCAATGCCTTAGCGCAATGGAGGCATATGGGACCAATGTCTCGTTAATAAATAGTAATTATAGCTGTGAAAAGTTGTTCTTTTACAAAGCCCGATCACATGACGTCAGACAGGTATGGGCTGTTATTAGATTAATAGGTAGCCTGTGTATGTTTTTTCACCGCTTGAAAACGTTAGTAACAGCTTTAATCTTTTGTTTTGATAAATGCCATTTATCTTCTGTTTTATAACACATGCAAAACTGGACATAGCTTTACACTCATCTGACGTTTGAAAAATCCACTTAATTGTGTCTGCGTAAAAAAAAATTACTTGAGATCGTGGCTATTATGTTGTTGACGTCATATTTAGAGGGTGATAATAGGGTTATTACCCAAACTTCGACTGAACAGTGACGCGACGCTGACTTGTCTGCAAGTTTAACGTAGCGACGTCAACACTATTTCGGAGTTATTTCGGTTATTACCATCTACAAGCCCTAGTGCAAACATAGGGTTGTTCCCCTAAGTTATCTATTTTTGTTAAAACATCTTATTTTCTGCGTTTTGTGTTGCAAGATATTTCAAGACAAGATCATTTGTTTTCCGTTTTTACCAGGCCAGGGTATTAATTTTCAAAATCCTCCTGCCCCCCCCCCCCCCCCGCCCCCCCCCCACCCCCACCCCCCTAAAAAATCTAAAGGTCGTCCCGTTAGTTTAGTATAGAGTACATGCATTGGATCCCCAAAGGTTAGTGCAGGCATATGCCAACCTTTTTTGATATAAAGAATGTTAACATTAGGGACTTGTCATTTTTTACCTGGGAGGGGGGCTGGTCAAAATGTAGGGGGGATCAAGTTTTTTTTCTGTAAGTGGAAAAGGGAGGGTTCAAATTTTTTTATTACTTCAAAGTGGGGGGATCAATTTTATCTCTAATGAAACATTTGTGAACTTTTGAATCTTCAAGTATATCCTACATATCATGTATGTCCAAGGTAAGTGATTTGCATGTTAAAATTTTGGCATGTTTAAATGAGGAGGGATCACATTTTTTTAAAAATGTTTTTAAGAGGGGGATAAAATAAAAATAGTGAAATATCATAGGGGGATCAAGAAAAATTTATATGTTTGATTTCAAAATGACCCCCCCCCCCCCCCCCCCCCATTTCCCCCAGGTAAAAAGTGATAAGTCCCTTAACACAAAATGTACTATTTTACTTAAAGTAAGAAATATTTTCAACCCCACCAGGATGTAACAATTTGATTCTGAGGAGGGGGCCTGTTACGTATTTTTTATGTCATGTTTTTATCATGTTGCTCGTTCTTTTTTTTTTAATATAAATTGGTAAATTATCCATTTTATTTGTATTATTATTAATCGATTTATATAAATTAAAGTTTGATAATAATTTGAATTTTTTTAAAACTACTTTAATAGGCGGGTCAGACTTACTTCCCTTAGTTATTGTTTACGTGTCATGAATTAGGACGTGTTATCTCATGTCGAATATTCTAAAGATCTTGAATTTCTGCATAGTCATTAGAACAGTGCATGTAAGTTTATTTTAATTTTTGCCATGCTATATGATATTAACTGGAACTGTACTGCTTTGATTAATTTGATTAATATGTAACTGTATGCGCATACGTTTAATACTTGTTCCATTAATGACAGTCTTTGAAAGGAATAACTATGATAGCTTACCATTTTTAGAGATGAAAAAGGGGTGTTTTTCAGGAATGTACTCATTCCATTTTTTAGAAACGTGAAGTGTAAAACTCTAAGACATATTTTTCCTTGAGGCTAAATTTCCTCGACTAGGATAAAAGCACTAGTGACAAGAAGAAATGCACCAGACTAAGTGCATATTCCTTGTGCCGGAAATCATATAATTTTAAAGTTCAATATATCCAGTACACACAGTAAAATTATTTTAATTTAATAACAAGTATTCATATCTTTGAAATCAGTAATAATACTGCATTTTATGCGTTATCTAAACACGGAAATTAAAAATTAGGTTACGACTGATCTACTTCAACAAAGAAATATTTCAGCTTTCTCAGATGGCAGGGACTATGAGAGCAGTACAGTTTCAAACTGGTGGTCCGGAAAAGATGAAGATTGGTGAGGTTCCAATTCCAGTCCTTAGGAAAAAGGAGATTTTAATAAAAGTTTACGCTTCTGCAATAAACAGAGCCGACACTTTACAGGTTAGTAAATAAATTCACAAAATAATCTGAACTCATGATCCTCATAATTCAGTACAAAAAGCTTCTGTTTTCACCAATCAAGGAAATACAAGAAAATTAGAACGTCCAAATATGAAATAACTTTTGTTCACTCAGAGTGCTCTCTTATACATTAAGTTCATTGACATTTTATTTTAGGAACATGCAATTTGTTGTTGGTGGCTGTGGAATAAGGAATCTAGGCACTAGGACTAAACCAAGTTATCTTGCCCTAATCAAAACTAGGGTTTGAATCAATTATCTGGAGGACTTATACGTTGACGGACAACCGTCAAAATTGTTTTTTATGGGATTCCTGCTTCTTTTGCCTTATTTTATTCTTCTTTGAATTGTATTGTAGACTGTTTTCATTTCGTATTTTTTTTCTTTCTGGGGTGCATTTTTACTATAAACTATGTTTTTGAGTTCCCCCTTGGTGTCTAATTTTTTTATCTGGTAAAGGAGGACAACTCTTATGGCAAATTTTTCAATCACCAAATGATACAAATACATTATATCATTAGCTCAGTAGTCAGACAGGATTTTAAAAAAATAATAAGGTTTGAAAATTATTGATTCAGGGCTTGCACACTGAGAATTTAGGTGGGTTTTTTGAAAGTATAGTTTTAAAATATTTTTACACTTTATTATATGCATTTTCGTTAAAAAGGCAGTTAAAGTTATTTTTATATTGATGAACATTCCACTTCATTTAAACTCTGGTGGATAGTTGTCTCATTGGCAATCATACCACATCTCCTTATTTTTATATTTATTTAATCGTACAACATTTTTTACTGTCTTATTGAAGTAAACTCAACATTTCGAATCATTCATACCCCCAACAACCTTGAATGTCAAAATAAGGACATCTTGACCTTCAAAAATCGAAAGCAATCAAATCAGTGTTTATTATTTCAGCGGAAAGGAGCTTATCCACCACCAGCTGGAGAAAGCGATATCCTTGGTCTAGAGGCTGTAGGGACTGTTGACAAACTTGGACCAGACTGTTCAAAAAAATGGAACATAGGAGATCGTGTCATGGCCCTATTAGCAGGGGGTGGTAATGCCGAATTTGTCGCTTGTCGAGAAGAGTGTTTAATGCCCATTCCAAAGAAGATGTCTTTCACCATAGCAGCTGCAATACCGGAAGTCTGGTTAACGGCTTACCAATTACTTCATACAGTGGGTAGGTTTACGTATTTCATGTTTTGAAATAGCAAAATAAGACGAACAGACAAATGCAAGACTGTGCAAATTTAATTGCTAATATTTCATAGTCTTCCTAACCGAAATATATATTTTGAACATTTATATCCATCTATCACAAATGACATAACTCGAACATTAGGTGAACTTGTTTTTTATATATACTTAAAAAAAAGAAAAATAAAGGAAAAAAGATGGATGGCTGTCCAGTGGCAAATTAAAGGCACATTCTCGACTAGAACATGTTGCATAATGTGTAATGCATATGAGTCTTGCTTTGTACTATATTGACCCCACGACCCCCACTCTCAAGGCTAGCGCCATTTACGAGCCCACCAAGGCGGTCCAGGAAAAGGAATAATAAGTATCCAGAATAAGTCAAGGCATACATGAACAAATAAATCAACAATAGGTTATGGATAATTGAAACGAAAAAACAACCAACAGAGCAACTCTTTTTTTATAACCGAAGATGGAAATGGATAGTTTGTGTATATGTCGATAGAAGCTTTTAATTTGGTAATGAAAAGTGAATACATTTAGAACAAGAAATGTAAAATATCATTTTGTATTCCTCAACAGCGCCTGCAACAAGAGTATATATCTCCCAGTTGATACGATATTCTATAGATTGCATGTGTTTCCTATCATGATTTCCTTGATAGAGAGTTGCTGTTTTAATATACAAGAATGTAATGGTTAAGTTGAAGTCATTCCTTCAAAAATTATACGCCAACATGGTTTGGTTGACCGCTATGGAATTTCAATATCTATGTCACAGATGACTACGGGTAGTTATGTTCAAATTGTCGTGACCACAGCCCCTCTTTTCCCTCGATTATGACATCACCGAATGCGACTTTTTACCTGTCATATGTTAAACAACTGATGCCACTAGTGTAGCAGGAACTGCTTAGCCTTTCAGAACACATGAGTTTACTTGCGGATTTTCGTGTGATTCGTGTTGCTTAATCTTAAGTTTTATGTGAATATTTTTATGAACTAGTTTGTCTTTTCGTCCTTTTATTTATGGTCATTGTGTTGTCTGTTTTTTCTTCGACTATGGGTTTTTTATTGACCCCTGGTATATTCTTTCCTTTTTGTAGGTGGAGTTAAAGCTGGTGATACCGTGTTAATACACGCTGGCGGAAGTGGTGTTGGTACTGCAGCGACACAGTTATCTGTTCTGGCAAAGGCCAAACCTCTAGTAACAGCAGGATCAATCGAGAAAATAGATATGGCAAAGTCCCTTGGAGCAGTTGCAGGGTTCAATTACAAAGAAGGAGACTTCAGTCTAGGTGTGAAGCAATACACAAAAGGTACTATAAATTTTGATATGAACACATTTGTCTTAGATACATGATTTGTTTATGTTATTGGCTTTGAAAAAAATAACTGTCAGTAACTTCGAGTACTCTAAGATCTTTACTTAGGGTCTTTTTTGTTGTGGGATGTATAGATACGCTGCCACGTCCGGTCTATGCTTTCGTTAGATGTTTTCTGCTTTGTATCGATCTGATGAGTTAATCCCTTTTCAACTGATTTTTATAGTTTGTTCTTATGTTGTACTATTACACCACTGTCTCGGGTTAGGGGAGGGTTCGCGCCTTCAAACATGTTTAACCCCGCCACATTCTTTATGTGCCTGTCCCAAGTCAGGAGCCTGTAATTCAGTGGTTGTCGTTTGTTCAGTCTGTCATATTTGTTTTTCGTAAATTGTTTTGTTATAAATTAGGCCGTTAGTTTTCTCACTTGGGTTGTTTCATATTTTTCATGTCGGGACCTTTTATAGCCGACTATACGGTATGGGTTTTTCTCATTGGTGAAGGCCGTATGAGAGATAATAGATAGTTGTCTCATTGGCTATCATACCACATATCCTTATTTTCATATACAATTATAAAAGCGTATTTAAACATGTGAAATTGATTTTTTTATGAAACAATACGAGGACTTTTTTCAAACCTTGAACAACTCTTAACATGTGACTGGCTATAGAAATTAATGAATTTTATAGTCTTTCTACTAGAATAACTCTAATACTTTTAGATATGAAATGCAGCAAAATATATTATTGTCTCATGCACATGAACTACTTGGCATTTATTTTTTCTATGCTACAGTGCAATGTAGAAATTTAACTGGAAAATAAGCTTCGCGATTTTTGCTTAAGTTTGTTTTAGTGTCATAAAACTTCTGTCGGTCAGACCTAAATTGAAAAATTAAAGTTTTGTAATAGGTTAATAATGTAAATGTTATGAATGAAATCCGGGAACTAAGTCCTGTGTGTTCACGATATACGAGATATATTGAATATGCTTAAATCAAACATTTCGGCATGTAATTGTAATTTCATATGTATGCAAGTCTATACAACTATTGGCTCATTCGGATCGGGCGTATACATTGTGGTGGAAGATTCGATAAAGTCTAGTAGCAAGGAGTTGCAAATCATTACATTGTATGTTACTATTCTGAAAATTTGCTAGCAGATTTGTGATTTTTTTTCATTACTGCATCGAGGATACCCCATGGACTTACTGGAATGAGATACTGCATCGAGGATATCCAATGGACTTACTGGAATGAGACAATGCATCGAGGATATCCCATGGACTTACTGGGATGAGGTCTTCTCAATTTATTTTTTTAAATTAAAAAAGATGACATGGACGTTTACTGGATATTATTAAGGCCCCTTTTAGAGACACTGATCCCCTTGTTTATACATCTTTGGCCTTCACAATAAATGAAACGTAACAGAAATGTGCATCAAACACAGTTAATTTGGTACGTTATTAAATGAATATGATCTATGAGTACACAGTATTACCGTACTTTGATATGTATTTTTAAGATGTTGGAGTGAACCTGATATTAGACTGTATCGGTGAATCTTTCTACAATCAAAACATCGAGTCCATAGCAAATGATGGTACCTGGGTTGTTTATGGCTTATTGGGTACGTATGCTTTGAACCTAAGATGAAAACATGCAAACGAGCAATAACATTCATAGTTTCTTCTCCAAAACGGTTAGCAAGTTAATACATCGCCACCGATTTACAGTAAATACATTCAGATCACTGTTGATGTCGAAGTTCTGAAAACAAGCCACAAATCATAATCAATGGAATAGATTATTTTAGAGATCCTAATTTTAAACTGCACTTGCATGTATTTAAAAATATATCTTTAGTTCCTTCTTTTTTACCTACATTGTGTAAATGTCTTCTTACAGTATCGGGATTCCAATACATGGAAACAATTTCAGCAATTTACACATAATTGATGACAACAAGTGTGAGAGATTGGTTTCATACCATACACAGTTCAAATTTGTAGACCATTACTTAAAAAAACAAGAGTTTCCTGGTGTATAAATTAATGTCATCTGGACGACTTCTCCTGTCCGGCAGTAAAATCCTTAGGTGGTCTGTCGCAAGAAAGAAATTCTGCTTCTATACAAAATCATCTTTCTCCAATGTCAGTTCATACTTCATCCACGTGGACTTACTTTGTAAACTTATCTACTGGATTAATTGTTTTTTGCTATCGTCCTGAAATGCATGACATATTTGCAACCAGACGTTTTACAAAAATCAATCAATAAATCAATCAACCATATATAATTTTAATACCGATGCCATTTTTATATATAATACGTCCACTTTTTAGATCTTCAATTTTTAAACGAAGAGTTGATTTGCAATACGTAATATCCACAGATTACAAATGAACACTTGCGCATGATCGTAACAACCTATATTCTTTATCATAAATACTTTTAATTTTAAAAGGTGGCGGGAAAATAAACGCTGATCTATTGAGTAAACTGTTGAGGAAAAGAATAACTATTACTGGTACAACTTTACGTGTACGTCCAATAGAGGTGAGTACCAGACTACTTTTCTAAAATCTCAATCAATTAATTTATGAAGGCTCTAAATTGATATGCGTTTTTTATACGACCGCAAAAAAATTTTGTGGTCGTATATTGGTATGACGTTGGCGTCGTCGTCGTCGTCGTCGTCGTCGTCGTCCGGCGTCGTCGTCCGAAGACACATTGGTTTTCGCACTCTTACTTTAGTTTAAGTGAATGGATCTTTTTGAAATTTGACCATAAGGTTAAAGACCACAAAAGGAAGGTTGGGATTGATTTTGGGGGTTATTGTACCAACAGTTAAGGAATTAGGGGCCAAAAAGGGGCCAAAAATAAGCATTTTCTAGTTTCCAGACAATAACTGTGGAACGGTGTATGGATCTCTCCGAAATTATACTACAAGTTTCCATACCACAAAGGGATTGTTAGGATTTGCTTTGGGGGGTTATGGCTCAAACCGTTTAGGAATTAGGGGCAAAAAAGGGGGAAAAACAAGGTTGTCCTGGTTAATGGACAAATACTTTAGTACAAAACATAATTTAAAGCAGTGTAAGGGAGATAAATCAAATTCATCATTGAAATTATCTCCCTTACACTGCTTTTAAATTATGTATAAAGTAATGGTTAATGAACAATAAAGATAATTTAAAACAGTGTAAGGGAGGTAATCCAAATACAACGTTTTGGTTACTTCCCTTACACTGCTTTTAAATTATGTTTAAAGAAATGCATATTTATAAAGGAAGACCAGTAAAAATATCTGCAAATGTTGCATCTTTGTTTTTTACAAAAAAATCCATATGAAAGATTTGACACTATATTTTTAATTCTATTATAAAATAGATTAAGTTAGCACTATGGTAAATTTAAATGGGTAATTATGGTTGTCAACTCCATTGGAAATTTGAATTTAGATTATGACCATATCTTGAGGGAAAGAATTTTTTGGGGGAAAAAAAGGGGGGGGGGGATAAAAAGAAATTGTGGGGGGTCAATTTTTTCTCATTTCAGATTTCAGAAATTAAAAAGAATTATTCTTCAAATATTATTTTTTTTTCAAATTTCAAATATTGAAAAATTTCAAGAAGTAATCTTTAATTGCACAGTATGGCGCATTAGATTTGTAAAATCTTTGATCACATTTATTTATTTGTTATGCCGATTCTAACAGTGTATTTAGATTTTAAATTTTGGGTCCAGTTTTCAAATTGGTCTACATTAAGGTCCAAAGGGTCCAAAATTAAACTTTGTTTGATTTTAGCAAAAATTGAATATATGAGGTTCTTTGATATGCTGAATCTAAACATGTATTTAGATTTTTGATTTTTGGCCCAGTTTTCAAGTTGGTCCAAATTGGGGTCCAAAATTAAACTTTGTTTGATTTCAACAAAAATTGAATATATGGGGTTCTTTGATATGCTGAATCTAACCATGTATTTAGATTTTTTATTTGTGGACCCTGTTATCAAATTGGTTCATATTGAGGTCAAAAGGGTCCAAAATTAAACTTTGTTTGATTTCATCTAAAATTGAATTATTGGGGTTCTTTGATATTCCAAATCTAACTGTGTATTTAGATTTTTAATTTTGGGTCCTGTTTTTTAAATTGGTCTACATTAAGGTCCAAAGGGTCCAAAATTAAACTTAGTTTGATTTTAACAAAAATTGAATTCTTGGGGTTCTTTGATATGCTGAATCTAAACATGTGTTTAGATTTTTGATTATGGGCCCAGTTTTCAAGTTGTTCCAAGATAGGGTCCAGTATTTAAACTTTGTTTGATTTCAACAAAAATTGAATATATGGGGTTCTTTGATATGCTGAATCTAAACATGTATTTAGAATTTTTGATTATGGGCCCAGTTTTCAAGTTAGTCCAAATTAGGGTCCAAAATTAAACTTTGTTTGATTTCAACAAAAATTGAATATATGAGGTTCTTTGATATGCTGAATCTAACCATGTATTTAGATTTTTTATTTGTAGGCTATCAAATTGGTTCAAATTATGGTCAAAAGGGTCCAAAATTAAACTTTGTTTGATTTCATCAAAAATTGAATTATTGGGGTTCTTTGATATGCCAAATCTAACCGTGTTTTTAGATTTTTAATTTGGGTCCCGTTTTTTAAATTGGTCTTCATTGAGGTCCAAAGGGTCCAAAATTAAACTTAGTTTGATTTTAACAAAAATTGAATTCTTGGGGTTCTTTGATATGCTGAATCTAAACATGTGTTTAGATTTTTGTTATGGGCCCAGTTTTCAAGTTGGTCCAAGTTGGGGTCCAAAATTAAACTTTTTTTGATTTCAACAAAAATTGAATATATGGGGTTCTTTGATATGCTGAATCTAACCATGAATTTAGATTTTTTATTTGTGGGCCCCGCTATCAAATTGGTTCATATTGAGGTCAAAAGGGTCCAAAATTAAACTTTGTTTGATTTCATCAAAAATTGAATTCTTGGGGTTCTTTGATATTCCAAATCTAACCGTGTATTTAGATTTTTAATTTTAAGTTCCGTTTTTTAAATTGGTCTACATTAAGGTCAAAAGGGTCCAAAATTAAACTTAGTTTGATTTTAGCAAAAATTGAATTCTTGGGGTTCTTTGATATGCTGAATCTAAACATGTGTTTAGATTTTTATACGACCGCAAAAATATTTTGTGGTCGTATATTGGTATGACGTTGGCGTCGTCGTCGTCGTCGTCGTCGTCCGGCGTCGTCGTCCGAAGACACATTGGTTTTCGCACTCTAACTTTAGTTTAAGTGAATGGATCTTTTTGAAATTTGACCATAAGGTTAAATACCACAAAAGGAAGGTTGGGATTGATTTTGGGGGTTATGGTACCAACAGTTAAGGAATTAGGGGCCAAAAAGGGGTCAAAAATAAGCATTTTCTAGTTTCCAGACAATAACTGTGGAACGGTGTATGGATCTCTCTGAAATTATACTACAAGTTTCCAAACCACAAAGGGATAATTAGGATTTGCTTTGGGGGGTTATGGCTCAAACCGTTTAGGAATTAGGGGCAAAAAAGGGGGAAAAACAAGGTTGTCCTGGTTAATGGACAAATACTTTAGTACAAAACATAATTTAAAGCAGTGTAAGGGAGATAAATCAAATACATCATTGAAATTATCTCCCTTACACTGCTTTTAAATTATGTATAAAGTAATGGTTAATGAACAATAATGATAATTTAAAACAGTGTAAGGGAGGTAATCCAAATACAACGTTTTGGTTACTTCCCTTACACTGCTTTTAAATTATGTTTAAAGAAATGCATATTTATAAAGGAAGACCAGTAAAAGTATCTGCAAATGCTGCATCTTTTTTTTTTACAAAAAAATCCATATGAAAGATTTGACACTATATTTTTAATTCTATTATAAAATAGATTAAGTTAGCACTATGGTAAATTTAAATGGGTAATTATGGTTGCCAACTCCATTGGAAATTTGAATTGAGATTATGACCATATCTTGAGGGAAAGAATTTTTTGGGGGAAAAAAGGGGGGGGGGGGATAAAAAGAAATTGTGGGGGGTCAATTTTTTCTCATTTCAGATTTCAGAAATTAAAAAGAATTATTCTTCTAATATTATTTTTTTTTCAAATTTCAAATATTGAAAAATTTCAAGAAGTAATCTTTAATTGCACAGTATGGCGCATTAGATTTGTAAAATCTTTGATCACATTTATTTATTTGTTATGCCAAATCTAACAGTGTATTTAGATTTTTAATTTTGGGTCCAGTTTTCAAATTGGTCTACATTAAGGTCCAAAGGGTCCAAAATTAAACTTTGTTTGATTTAAGCAAAAATTGAATATATGAGGTTCTTTGATATGCTGAATCTAAACATGTATTTAGATTTTTGATTTTTGGCCCAGTTTTCAAGTTGGTCCAAATTGGGGTCCAAAACTAAACTTTGTTCGATTTCAACAAAAATTGAATATATGGGGTTCTTTGATATGCTGAATCTAACCATGTATTTAGATTTTTTATTTGTGGACCCTGTTATCAAATTGGTTCATATTGAGGTCAAAAGGGTCCAAAATTAAACTTTGTTTGATTTCATCTAAAATTTAATTATTGGGGTTCTTTGATATTCCAAATCTAACCGTGTATTTAGATTTTTAATTTTGGGTCCTGTTTTTTAAATTGGTCTACATTAAGGTCCAAAGGGTCCAAAATTAAACTTAATTTGATTTGAACAAAAATTGAATTCTTGGGGTTCTTTGATATGCTGAATCTAAACATGTGTTTAGATTTTTGATTATGGGCCCAGTTTTCAAGTTGGTCCAAGATAGGGTCCAGTATTTAAACTTTGTTTGATTTCAACAAAAATTGAATATATGGGGTTCTTTGATATGCTGAATCTAACCATGTATTTTGATTTTGGACATTGGACCATAATAGGTAAATTAAAAAAATTCAAGTTCTTAGACCACATTCTTTCTGTGTCAGAAACCTATGCTGTGTCAAATATTTAATAACAATCCAAATTCAGAGCTGTATCAAGCTTGAATGTTGTGTCCATACTTGCCCCAACTGTTCAGGGTTCGACCTCTGCGGTCGTATCAAGCTGCGCCCCAGCGAAGCATTTTATTGATTATGGGCCCAGTTTTCAAGTTTGTCCAAGTTGGGGTCCTAAATTAAACTTTGTTTGATTTTAACAAAAATTGAATATATGGGGTTCTTTGATATGCTGAATCTAACCATGTATTTTGATTTTGGACATTGGACCATAATAGGTAAATTAAAAAAATTCAAGTTCTTAGACCACATTCTTTCTGTGTCAGAAACCTATGCTGTGTCAAATATTTAATAACAATCCAAATTCAGAGCTGTATCAAGCTTGAATGTTGTGTCCATACTTGCCCCAACTGTTCAGGGTTCGACCTCTGCGGTCGTATCAAGCTGCGCCCCAGCGAAGCATTTTATTAAATTTTACAGATATCATTTGTGATAATCCTTCAGTTTTTTTGTTTGTGTTTTTAGATAACCTTGTTACCATGCTAGAGATGAAATCAAATTGTTCTAATTCATTTTCTTGGTAACTTTTCGACTAAAAACAAAGTTGAAAAAAAAATGACAGCCCAGGTCTTTGAAAGACGTTGTGATATATATTCACAACTTTTGTTAGACTCAGGGCGATTCGTAAACCCCACAACTCGTCTTATTCAAGATAATTTTGCCAAGACAAGACAAGACAAGACAATTTATTACAACTTAGGCATACGTATAGTGCTACAAGAGGATAACAATTATACATTAACAATTACATAATTATACATTTGCAAGCAAGACAAACAATAAATAAATTAGCGATATCATACAGTAGAATTGAAATATACAATATTTGGTTGATGTTTTTGCAATATTTTGAATTGCAACGTGAATAAAATTTTATTTTAAAATAAATACTACATTGTAACATGATACAAATTATGAAAATATCTTTTCTAAGTGTCTTAAAAACGTGCACAGTTTTGTTAGAACTGGCACGTTACAGTGTGACAATAGACCTATGAATTTTAATTGGGAAGGATTATTTGTGTAATATGTAGGTATATACTTTCCTCTTAATGACATAATTTGTTCATTGGTACATGTAAACAAATAATGACATTCGTCACCAATTGTAGTGACGGCATATACGATCCTCTTTTGGTGTATTTTTCCACCGACCAACTTCAATAGGGATTTTGATATTTGAACATCTAAATCTACTGTAGATATAACGATCTGTCACTTTAAGATTGAGTAAATATTGCTCTAAACAAAAACTAGTTTTGTAATGACGCATTAAACACACCTCTTGACGAGTTTGTTATATTGGCAAATAGACGCTGTCCGCATTGGTCAACTAATCTCTGTTTTATTTCTTTTTTTAATATCCGAACTTTTAACACCCTGTGCATTCCAGACAAAGGAAAATCCTGTATCATCTAATATTTGTTTCAGAGAAGATAGCCATTTAAATGAGTATTGACCTGAAGTATGCAAGTTATACATTAACTGATACAAAATCCCGGATAATTTGCTACTACCGCTTTGCACTAACCTTGACCAAAAGCAAAGTAATTTAGTTTTAATATTAATTATTAGCGGGAATCTGCCAGTTTCTCCATAGACCATATAATTTGGTGTTGTTGATCTTACATTCAAGACCCTCTTCAGGAAACTTAAGTGCACCTTTTCAATCATGTCAACATTCTCATGACCCCATATACCCGAGCCATAAAGTTAAATTGGAGAGACCATACAATCAAATAGTCGAAATTGCAGATCTGAAGGAATATTTACATTTCTTAACTTGTAGTATAATGCGTACAGTGCTTTTTGTGACTGTTCAGCCAGTTTTTTCTTTGATAGATTAAAATTGCAATTGTATCTTATTAATAATCCCAGATATTTATAACTGACTCTGTCCGTGAGCTGTAACTCCTCGCCTCTTAACATAAATCTCAGATTTCTTTTACGCTTCGCCTTCTCAAACACCATTACTTTTGTCTTATCAATGTTTTCATTTAGTTTCCAGTTAGCACAGTATTCATCAAACTTATTCAACACTCTTTGTAAATCGTCAGCTGATTCTGCCAGTAATATTGTATCATCAGCATATAATAATGAAATAATTCTAATATACATGCCAAGTTCACTTAGACAGTATTCATTTACCTTTTCTAAACATTTTATATCATGCTGAATAAAATAGCTGTCTAGATCAATAATGAAAAGAGCAAACAGAAAGGGCGATAAGTTTTCACCTTGTCTAACCCAACTTCGCACGGAAAGAAATTTGAACAACCTGAGTTGTGTCTAACACATGATTTGATATTAGAATAGAGGTTGTAAATAGAGTTAAATATTTTGCTTGTAATGTTACTAGAGATAAGCTTTTGCCACAGCCCTACCCTCCACACAGTACCAAAGGCTTTCTTGAAATCTACAAATGTACAGAATAAACGCTTTCCAGAGAGTAAATACAGTTGAATCAAACAATATAAACTAAATATATTATCAAGTGTAGAGTGACCTTTCCTAAATCCTGCTTGGCATTTTGAAAGTAATTCAATTTCATGTGCAAATTTGTCTAGTCTATTATTTAGTATAGCTGTAAATACTTTTCCTAAACATGATACCAGTGTTATACCTCGACACGAGTCTGGATCTTTAAGATCTCCCCTATTCTTATAAATGGAATTAATTGTTCCTATTGACCAGATTTCGGGTGTAGTCCCTGTGTCGAATACGAAATTGAACAACTTGACGTAAAGAGGTAAACATACAGACACTGAATTTTTAATATACTCGTTTCTTATCCCATCATATCCAGCGGCTTTATTATTTTTAAAAGTATTAATGACTTTGATAATTTCTTCGTCGGTAATAGGCCAATTTAAAATTTCATCAAACTCATTAGACCGTCAGTAGGTTAGGTAATTGAAACTCTCCCTCAATATTTACCTCACCTCCATTAAGCTTCTTCAATGGTCATACCTTACTTCTAGTGAAATTGAACTTTCCTTTTTTTGTTTCGGAGAAAATCTATTTAAAATTTTCCAAAATTCTTTCGGGTTATTTTTTGATATATTACGAAGCTCCTTTTCTGTCTTTAACTGATATTTTTTAAAAACAATTGCTTATTTCTTTTTTTATATTCCTTACTTGCTCTTTTTAGTGGCTTTTTCTTATTTATACTTTTCTGTTTATTATATTTATATATTTTGCCGAGTGAAATTGTTTTCTTTTCAATTTACATGATTTACCAAACCATGGTTTATAACCCTTTTTGACCCCATGAGCTTTTTTCATCGGACTTTTATCAACAAAAGTTCCATAAGAATCTTTAGCTGCCTGCGAGTAAAAATTTGTTAAACTAGTTATAACTCCGTTTATGTCATGATCATCTTTTTTGAAGGATTCCAATTCATTACACAAATCAAGTATTTTTTCCTCGCTCTTTCTTACATTTTCGATGAATTTGTGTTTATCCTGTTCCATCCATTTTATTGACGTCTTTTTATGTGAACTCTTTTCCTCTACTATTATATATTGGCCTCTGTTATTAGTTTGACATGTATGCGGTTGTGTACATCAGAGAATAATGCATCAAACAAAATAACCTCAAACTCTTCAATATTCTAAAAAAAAGATTTGACGAAACTATAAAATAGTCAATCAAACTATTGTCATTCGTGGTAGCCTTATCTGCCCCAGTCCTACCCGCTGTAATGTACAAATTATTTCTCTTACAAAAGTTTACTAATTTATAATCCTTATAACCCTGAGAATTTGGACGCACTTTATCTTCTGAAAATCTTTTTAGTGGAATTTTTAATGAAATTAGATTTTGGTAATCATATAAAAAAATCGATTAATTCATCGTTTCAATTTTCATCTAAAACCTCTACCAAATTTTCATCTGGAACGACAAAATCCAAAAGGGTTCCAGTTCTGGCATAAAAATCGCCAATAAATGAACACAACTGTTCATCATCTCAGCGTTACCATCTCCCTTTATTTTTCCTCGGAAGCATCTTTTGATGCATATCTGCTATTTTCTGGTGGTATATAAACACATCCGATAAGCATGTTTGATTGATTTGAAATATTATTGAGTTGAATCCGTAGAACAAATTCACAGTCGGTTTTGATGAACTTGATATTTCTTTCTATTGATTTACTATAAATGACTGAGATGCCACCAGATTTTTTCTTGATTTTTTTTCTACATTTTGAAAAAGAAAGATACCCATTGGGCAAAGATAGCATATCAAATTCATCAATTTTTGATTCAATACATACTAGAATATCGTAATTTTGAATAGTTTCAATGAATTCGGGAATAATTAATTTAGATTTTAAGCCACATACATTAATAAAAGACACTTTTAATCCCCCGTATTCATAGTTTAAAAGTTCAGTAGAAACCTTATCCCTTGTATCGGTGTCGTCCTACATATATCTATTCTCTGGAGGCATAGTAATTACCCTCCAGTCTGCTACGCTACACGTAACAGATGAGGAATTCCACGTAGAACTTGGAAATGTTCTATTCCAAGCTCGTTGTAGATAAAGCTTCGAAGCTTTTCTTCACAATTTTCATTTGGTGAAAACCTAACCTAGAGAAAATAAGATTGTTTTTCATTGACCTGCACCTTAAATCTAGAAGGCTATGATCCATTTGTTTGATATGCTCTTTTAGGTTGTAATTTTCTATTTGCCTTTCAAGTTCTTCGTTTCTGCTCTTCATATTCTCAATTTCTTTTTTGTTGCCCGAACACCTCTCAATGACAGTGTCAAGCAACCCTCCGATATCTTCCACACTTTTTTCAATTAATGAATTCCTTTTTATTAAATTCAATAAGGATGTTTCAATTTCGGTGATCTTGTTGCACATTTGACTAACCGAACCATTCATTTCATCTATCTTCGTGAGCTTATTCTTCAATTTCTGTTGCCGCTCATCTATTCTTTCCAGGATTATCAAGATTTTATTCATATTTGAAGCTCTGTCGGATTGTTCCATTGCTTTCTTGCTTTCTTTGATCAGCGATTTTGTGTTTAGAGCCATGTTGTACATTTGTGGAGGTTAAACAATGCCAAAGTGGAATTAACATTGATATAAGTAATATTAAATTTATGTAAAATGTACTATATGTTTTAATTGAGAATTGAATGCTACTTTTTGTAATTGTATTGGTCGGACGCGTTGACCTAATCACATTTTGTGTGAAGCTTGGAAGCCTTTAAATGTATATATCAGTGGCTCAAAAGTTGTTTCACTATCTAATTGGATCAATTAAATTTTTTTAAATCATAAAACCTGTTACTTATTTGGTATGAGCGGTTTTCTTTAATATGTTTTGTTTTGCCATTTCAGTACAAAGAATCGTTGGTTCAAAACTTCACACAGAATGCACTTCCGTATTTTGAATCTGGAAGACTAAAACCAATCATTGATAAAATATTTCCGCTCGAACAGATTGGAAATGCTCATCAGTTAATGGAGGAAAACAAGAACACGGGGAAAATTGTCTTGAAAATTCGCGAGGAAGATGGTAGAGATGAACTTTAGAATAAATTAAGTCGCAGCTATCTATAGTCAGACTGCGATACCCGTGTGATTCCCAATGAAATCAACTTGCTCGTTCTGCAGATTTCTGCATCTAAATGTATGTTGTAATTTTGATATGAAGGGACAAAAATATGAAATGCTCTAAAGTTTGACTCATCATTTTGGACAGAAATCAAATCGTTTGAATTTCAAGACGCTTTCATGAAGTAGAGTAGCGCTGACACATATAATCTAGAAGAAGCATGTTTTCATTCTATAAATATACTACCACGAACATGCATAATAAATGTAGAGCTAGTCAGATTTGCAGAACTGTTATGATTGACTTTGAATAAATTTATTTTTTATTATTTTTTTGAACAAATTGTTACTTGAACCTATATATACATTCTATGCGAAGTAGATATGGTATTTCTCTACTGTAGACAGTTAAAATGATAGTGTATCAAAAGTTAAAATGAATTTATGAAGTTAGTTGCTTTAATACACCTACGTAATTTGGTCTCTGGTGGATGTTTGTCTCATTGGCGGTACATATCACATCTCCTGATTGTTATTTTTATTTGAAATCCAATCTTTTGGCGACACACACTGGTGGTGAGCAACAATAATACTACGTATCATTAAGGATTTAATTAGGTGAAATTAAAAAATCTAGAATTTAAAATTGATACTATAAGTCAGAAGAACAAAATAAGCTAAAAATATTGATAGGTTATGAAGCTAACTTTCGAGATATTTATTTTTTTTTAAATGGCGAGAAAACTTTTTAAGGCTGACTCGGACTTTTACCTTATATTTGCATTGGTATTATTTGGGTCTCAAATCGAATGAAATCAAATAAAGAACCTGCTTAAATTTTGGTAAATGAACTTTTATGAGCTATTGAAGTTTTATATGAAAAGAAAAATGGGTTTTATGGGGCAAAATATTTTACCCTGTACCATAGGAAAAAAACCAAGGAGTCCGAACATCTGACAAAAATTCCTAAACCTGACCTAAGTACATCCTTAATATCCTTCTATGCATTCAAAATGTTTGAGGTGGATATGACTTTGTATATCTATAAAAAGTTCGTGACGTTAACTTGCCGACAGACATTTTAACATTATTTGCCACACATTCCCTGGTGGTGGGCAACAATAATACCAAGTATCATTAATATCCATTAACTTTAAGGCATTCAAAAGATTTGAACCTGACGACTTTCAGACAGACAGATATGTATACAGAGTGATTCCTTAGGCTATATACTCCTCCGAAATTCGGCGCGAGTGCTCTAAGTGTAAACCATAATGTCGAAAGCCAGAGAAGGGGTTTTCCTTTACATTTTCCCTTTTTAAAAATAATAATGACTGTTTAGTTGAGGAAATGTTCAAATGAGGAAGCAAATGTTCACAAGAATCCTGAAGTACCTAGCTTTCATAACAAACAGAAGATCAATTTCAGTGCCCTCAACACATAACTCTGGAATAATCGTTAGGTATACGCTCGAAATCAAGAGTTTGTGAAGTCAAACATACATTAGGCTCCAACCACACTGAGTCGGATTTTAAATGTATTAAAAGCTCATGACGTATAGTCCGCAGAAAGACATGTTACCCTCATTATTCTGATTCTTAACTGATCAGTCTTTTTTGTAACTCTTAAATGTTTTTATGCTTGGCGGAGAAGCCAATGTGAACTTAAAAGTCCTTGGTTTGACCATACCGCTTATTGAACAAATTCTTCCGATTCGGTTATCGTTTAATGATAATGTATACGAAACACGATCTTAACATCGTTCAATACTAAGAGGTTATAAACTTTCTGAAAAATACCAAACTATCGTCCCATCGAAAATGAATTGAAAGAGTGTCGCCAGGAAATGGTATTAAAAATGCTCTTTCATCCTACTATAAAAATATGAGTTAACAGGAGAAATGTCATATTTAACATCAATTGATTCTTGTTTCAACAAATTATGAATATGGTAGATATTCGCATATCACATTTAGAAATTTATTTAGAAATTATAAAAATTTATCAATACGTCCATTTCTGGGATAAGACATCAGAATTTGGAAAGCGACCAACAATTGCGGTGGTGGTATGTGGTTCTTAAGAATGAAATTATAACTCCTTTACACGCAAAGGCATGTGCTCCACGGAGAGTCAAATTATGGACAATCATATCTTGCCACATCTCAGCTAAAGTCATCCTCGAACACTTGAAAGTCTCTACTATGTATTGGATACCTGAACTACACACAAACACACTCATCAGATATCGGTTTATGTCGGCCTCTGTAAGTGATTTAGAATTAACCTTTCTAACCTTTTACTACTAAGTTCCTTTCACTACCATTAAGAAAATTATTATTCAATTTTAAAATAAAGTACATGCAAATAACGGAATTAATTATTTTGGGATGTGAAAAACTGTTTCTTTTTGGTAAATTGCATGCTTAAATTGTCCTTTCAATTCGGTTGACAGTTATAACTGGTCGCCTCTTAATTTACTCTCTTATCAAACCGGGGCTAAATCTCATTAAGTTGATGCAACTCTAGTAAAGCCTTCCTCTGTAATAAAACAAATAAATATGCCAGCGATACTTACTGGAATTGTGATGCAATGACCAAAGTTGTTTTCTCCATGTCAGCATCTGTGTACGTTTTTGCAACAGTTTATTGACGGGTAGTATGCATTCCTGTGGGCACCAACTGCTCCCCTTTTATAGAAAAGTTGATCCTGTATTGTTAGAATTCAGTTTATAGCCTAAGTCGGTAAAGATCTGTCTTAATTTCATTGTATAGAAACCATTAATTTCACATACTGTTGACTTGATGATATTCTTGAAATAATCAAGAATTCTCTTAACTATACTGCGGAAATTTACCCAAGGGAACCGACTTTGTCCTTTTCTTGGTTTGATATTTCAATTTCAAATGGAAAGCTTAATTGACGACAAAATGACGATTTTCGTTCTTTATTGTTTATTTTCCCTTTTTTGGACGGTGACATTCTTTTAGCCCCTTCTCACGGTGTGAACGCTATGCACGTGTCTGTAGTGACGTTTTAGATTTTAATGAACGAAATTTATGTATAACATAATCTTTTTATTAATAAAAGGGATTTTAACCACAATTTACTTTTAACCATGCATACTCGAATTATTTCATAGACACATAGATTTGGTTTTGAAGTTTTGCTGTACCTGTAGAAATCTATCATATTACAAACCGGTCCCGAATATATTAATTATCCTAGCTTTACGATGAAGTTGCTTATAGAGCCAATACATAAAGATATGACTAACTATACTTATTGGTCTTTTGAATAAACTGATTCTTAAAGGTTATCATTATAACATTGAAGTAAGATCGATTATCGGTACTGACATTGATTTTATTTTTTAACAGATACACTGCTATCCTGTTATTAACAGTCATGGTCCATCATCCTGTTGATACTTATATATATATTTTGGCATTATACAAAGTCATGTTTTTCTCAGACTACTTATTACGTCCTATAGCTAGGGCCTCGATGGCCGATCGCGAGTGGTCTAAGTAGTCGAACTACTGTGTCACTAGCCTGTCAACACTGAGATTGTGAGTTCGAATCACACACGTGGCAAGTGCGCTCGACTCCAATCTTAATTGACTAGGATTGTCAGTTTTCCTACCGAAGGTCATTGGTTCTCTCCTGACACTCCGTCTTCCTCCAACAATATAAACTGACTGCATCGAAACACCGCAAAAGTGCTGAAAGTGGCGTTTAACACCTATCAATCAATCAATCCTACTATTAAGTCTCCTAAACGACTTATTTTTTTTGTTCAGTTCTTCTTCTTCTTCTTCCGCCTCTTTTAAATTTGAACTTGTCCGCACCCGTTCTCCAAAACTGCTAGTAGGATTAACTTAGGGTTCCACAATATGTTAGACTAACATGTCTAGTGGTGCAATCAGGGTTTTGTTTGTGCAATGGGGGTTATAAAGGGGTACTTTGAGGGGCAAAAAGAAAGGAGGGTTTTACTATAGAACCCTATGGAATTTTATTATTTTAAATTTTCAAATGATTATAAATTGAAACCCATTTGTGATAGACACAATCTTTTTAATTGAAAATGTTCTACATGATAAAGCACATTAAATGAAACAAACGTTTAGTCCTCAGGGGTTATCCCCACCCCCTGCCATATGGTTTGAGAAAGTTTTAATATCTTGTAAATGGTCAAGATCCAGACCCCTAAACCATATATATTCTGGTTTGTCATGCGAAGATGGTTTGAATGATATACAGGATTAGTCTCCAGGGGTCATCCCGACCCCCTGCCATTTGAGAAAATTCTAATATCTTGTAAATGGTTGAGATCCCCACCCCTAAACCATATAAATTTCTGTTCGTCATGTCTCGAATATTTGAATGGCGTATAGGGTCAGTCCCCAGGGGTTCACCCCACCCCCAATGTTCTAATATCTTGTAAATGGTCGAGATCCCCACCCCTAAACCATATATATTCCTGTTCATGTCTCGAAGATTTGAATGATGTATAGAGTCAGTCCCCCAGGGGTTCCCACCACCCCCAATGTTATAATATCTTGTAAATGGTCGAGATCCCCACCCCTAAACCATATATATTCTGGTTTGCCATGCCAAGATGATTTGAATGATATACAGGGTCAGTCCCCAGGCATCACTTATGCATATGACTTTACTGGACCAAACCAATTTTCACTGGACTTTGCCAGGTAGATTGGGCGCTCAAAAGATGTTTAACCCCACTGCATTATGTGTCCGTTCTAAACAACGAGTCTGTAATTCAGTGGTTGTCGTTAGTTACAGTCTGTCATTATTTTTATTTTGTTGCATTATAAAACTAGGAGGCAGTTCGATTCTCGCTTCTGAGTTTTTTTTCTACATTCCGTTATGTCGGGGAGGGGGGCTTTTATAGCTTACTATTTGTTCACATCCTTGTCATTTGGTCTTTTGTATAGCTGTTCATTGAAACTCGCACCAAATCTCAATATTTTTTGTTTGTTTTGTGTTGTTAGATTTCGGTCTCATAGACGTATACCTTGTATGAACAAAATGTAGTTCCATTGAAAACACCTCAATCAAGTGTTAATGCTTGATGCTAATTTTAATATATTAATAATAATGTTTTATTTTTTTTACTATTGATGCCTTTTTTTTTGCATTTCCTATCATGATTTTCTTGATGGAGGGTTTCTGCTTACAAGGAAACTTTTAAACCAAGAGTTCTAACCGGTGAATTTGAAATCATCCCTTCGAAAATTTTACGGACGCCATAACAAGAAGGTTGACCGTGATGGAATATCCCCGGTATGTTTCACAGGAGACGACGGATATGTCACAGTCGAATTGTAACATTTCTGTCCTCTTTTCCTCGAATGTGACCTACCGAATTAGACTATCACCGGGTTTGTACGTGTATGAGCAACACGACGGTACTACATGTGGAGCAGGATCTGCTTACCCTTCCGGGTTATGGTTATTGGTAGGGTTTGTGTTGTTCAGTCTATAGTTTTCTATCTTGTGTTTTATGTGCTATTGGTTGTCTTTTGGTCGTTTTCATTTTTTGCCATGACATTGTCGGTTCGTTTTCGTTTTTTGCCATGGCATTGTCGGTTCGTTTTCGTTTTTTGCCATGACATTGTCGGTTCGTTTTCGTTTTTTGCCATGACATTGTCGGTTCGTTTTCGAACTATTGAGTTTTATTATCCCTTTGGGTATCTTTTGTCTCTCTTGTAAAGAGATTGATATGCCTTGATTATTATTTTATCATATAAACAAAATATAACATGAAAATAGATACAAAATAAACTGAATTTATTATTTTTGATATACATCAATGTTTCCCTTTCAATTCGTTATTGTCTTAAGAAAAAAATTTCTACACCATAAAAATATAAAAGATCTCTAGTGCGATACACCATACATACATGATATGAGAATGTTACCAATGGTTACTGTTTACATAGTAAACCAATTTCTTGTTCTTTTTAATTGCGGATTTTATAAAATATCACAGTTTGGTCACTGGTTTTACTAATTGTTGTTAATATTGTTCGTTGAATTTTTATTAAAAGGGTATACATTTAAAGTTAAGAAATATTTCAATATACATGTTTAACTTATATTTATTTTTTCTGTGAATATAAACAAAATAATTGCCTTAGAACCCTTATGCTAAAAACATTGCATCACGTTTATCACCCACAGAGAATCTATTTGACAGATAAATATCAAAAATAACTTATATCGTATGCTGATGTGTTTTACGTGAAAAATATGACATATCGGTATACTCGATAACTGAACGGAATGCAAAACTCTTAAAATAGTTTATGTTATTTTTTTTAAATTGTCAGTCTCGATGAAAGCAAGTGATGAATGAGTATATTTACACAATTTGTTTACTTAGGTAACATTCCTTTCAAAACAGTTTGATATAGTCTATCATCATTTAAAAAAAAATAGTACATGCTATAACCAAACGTAGTATTAACCAAGATTGTTACATACACGAACAGATTCCTTCGAGCAATCCCAGTGTCCATCACAATGACATCGGCACTGGAATTGTCTACAGTTTTCTTCAATGACAAACACACTATTTCCAGCATATTCATTTCCTCTGGCTCGACATTTCTGACACTGGCCGGAAGTACACAAGTTCTCTGTTCGTTCGGCTGGGCAGTTCCATGACCCGTCACACTGACAGTCACAATTGAATTTTTCACATCGTTCCGTGTATGTGAATGGTTTGTTTGGTAAGTACCTGTTGCCCTTGACAAGACAGTCGCGACAAATTTGACCATTGGATTTACAAATGTCTGTAACAGATGGACAACTATGAACTCCATTGCAGTTGCAGGAACATTTATTTAGGTTACAGCCATCAATGTAGGAAAATGTTTTATTTGGTGGATATCGTTTCCCATTGATAAAACATTCTCGACACGTTTGCGAACCAAGACCTCCGCAAATATTTATTGTTCTTTCAGCTGGACACCTCCATGATCCGTCACAATTACAGTCACAGTCGAAACGATTGCAGCCTTTGTCGTATTGGAATTTCCTATTTGGGGGATAGTCTCTTCCTTCTACCGCACAATTTCTACATTTATCAGGTCTACCACTGCATATATCCTTAGTTCTCTCCGCTGGACAGTTATACGAACCATCACAGGCACAGTCACAATTAAACCTAAAACAACTATCTTCGTACTCGAATATGGTATTTGCTGGATACGCCTTTCCATTTACTCTACATTCTCTGCACGTCTGTGGACAGATATTGATAGTACGCTCTGCAGGACAGCTCCAAGAACCATCGCACTTACACCGACAGCTGAACCGGAAACAGTTGTCTTCAAATTGAAATGCTGAGTTACTACTGTATTCAACCTTATTTACAATACAAGCCCGGCAACCACGACTGTCAACAGCTGATCCTGATGTATATCCACTGCGTGACCTGAGTTCGGTAATTGTTTGCGACTCGCCTAGTGTTGAAGTACTCGACACCTTCTCAGTTCCAGTACTTGTACGTGTTTCTGTAATAGATTTTGAATCAACTATTGAGCCTGAACCAGTTCTTCGTGATTCACTTCTGGAACGGTCAGTTTCCGAGCTAGTTCGACTACCAGCGCCTGTAATTAGACTTGAACCGGAACCAGTTAGTCGTGATGAACCTGATTCAACAGTGCGTCTTGATCCTGTCCCAGCAACACGTTCAGAACCTGCCCCGCTCGTTACGCGAGTAGAACTAGTTCGCAAGCCTGAAGTTTGCCTAGAATCGCAGATACGCTCAGTTCTTGACGCAGGACAATTCCAGGAACCGTCACAGTTACAGTCACAATTATATCTGAAACAATCTTCATCGTACGAGAATCGTGAGTTACCACGGTATTTACGACCTTTAACCTCGCATTCTGTACACTGTCCTGTTTGGGGATTACTGTCGATTCTTTCTGTACGAGATGCAGGACAGTTCCACGAACCATCACAGTTACAGTCACAATTATACCGGAAACTGCCTTCATCATACGAAAATCTAGAATTCCCCCTATATCTACGACCTTTGACCTCGCATTCTGTGCATTGTGCCGGTTGTGGATTAACGTTTATTCTTTCTGTACGAGATGCAGGACAGTTAAATGAGCCATCACAGTTACAGTCACAATTATACCGGACACTACCTTCATCATAACTGAATCTAGAATTACCACGGTATTTACGGCCGTTGACCTCGCATTCTTTGCACTGTGCCGGTTGTGGATTAACGTTTATTCTTTCTGTACGAGAAGCAGGACAGTTCCATGAGCCATCACAGTTACAGTCACAATTATATCGGAAATTACCTTCATCATAACTGAACCTCGAATTACCGCGGTATTTACGGCCTTTGACCTCGCATTCTGTACACTGTCCTGTTTGGGGAGTACTGCCGATTCTTTCTGTACGAGACGCAGGACAGTTCCAAGAGCCATCACAGTTACAGTCACAATTATACCGGAAACTACCTTCATCATAACTGAACCTCGAATTACTGCGGTATTTACGGCCTTTGACCTCGCACTCTGTACACTGTCCTGTTTGGGGTTGAGGAGTACTGTCGAGTCTTTCTGTACGAGACGCAGGACAGTTCCACGAGCCATCACAGTTACAGTCACAATTATACCGGAAACTATCTTCATCATAACTGAACCTCGAATTTCCACGGTATTTACGGCCTTTGACCTCGCATTCTGTACACTGTCCTGTTTGGGGAGAACTGTCGAGTCTTTCTGTACGAGAAGCAGGACAGTTCCACGAGCCATCACAGTTACAATCACAATTATACCGGAAACTGCCTTCATCATAACTAAACCTTGAATTACCACGGTATTTACGGCCTTTTACCTCGCATTCTGTACACTGTCCTGTTTGGGGTTGGGGTGTAGTGGCGGCGATTCTTTCGGTGCGAGATGCAGGACAGTTCCACGAGCCATCACATTTACAGTCACAATTATAGCGGAAGCTACCTTCATCATACGTGAACCTTGAATTTCCTTGATATTTCTGACCTTTAACATCACACTCCTTGCAGGTACTGCGACAAGTGTTAACAGTTCTTGAAGCCGGACAGTTCCAAGATCCATCGCACTTACAATCGCAACTGAATCTATTACAACCCTCTTCGTATGTGAAAGGTGCATTCGCTTGGTATCGGTTTCCCTTGACAACGCATTCCTTACATTGTTGTTCACATGTGTTAACGATGTTCTCTGGTGGACAGCTGTAGACACCGTTACATGGACATGTACACTGGTACTTACGACATCTATCAATGTCTACTGTAAAGCTGAAATAGATTTAAAGGTTGATAATTATTTCGAAAAAATGTCGCAAAATAAACAAGCATAATCCGAAATTGCTCTGATGTATGATTGCCTTTTTCATGTTTTTCGGGATCTGCTGCCCAGAGAACCCAGGAATCTTAAAAAGATTGTCAGACGTCAGAGCAATCTCGGACTTACCAAAGCATACCTTCAGGAGATGTTTGGCTAAAAAAAGAAATAATTTAAAGTTGCTGTAAACTCTTGAATTATTTAACAAAGAACTACCGATATGTTGCTGTAATGGCTTCTATTAAATGCAGAAGTTTTAATGAGTCACAATACCACTGAAACTTACGCACCGACAATTAACATAGTGCGGGGGAAGTGTTATTACTTTTTCCATTCTGAAAATGTTACCACGCAAGCATCAAATAATTTATATTCTTTTGTTGCGCAAAGCACGAATTATTTTTAAGAAATCATAATATTTATTTAGAAAATAACAATACCCCTCCTCGAAGTTAAAAGGTTATTCCCAGTGGCGGATCCAGAACTTTTCATAAGGGGGGCCCGCTCCAGTCATGCTTCAGTGGTTCCCTATATAATTAACCAAATTTTTCCCACGAAAGGGGGGGCCCGGGCCCCCCAGCCCCCCCCCCCCCCCTTGGATCCGCCTATGGTTCCTTTATTAAGATACTCACTTTAGGAGCAAATGACTGGAGTAATTCATTTGATAAAATCGGGAAATCTTTCAAAAATCATTTGTTCCTAAAGTGAGGATCTTAATAAAAAAATAATACTCCTCTTCCCCCGCACAAAGTTAAATGTCGGTGCGTAACATGTAACACCGTTGTCATGCCAAGAGATTTTAATTGCAGTGAATTTTCATGATTAGGTGCAGTAGGTCATGCCTTTGTCAATTATGTCATTGTAGAGAATTAACTCGAGTAAATATGATATCGATAATTGTCTTGTATGGATAAGTGATGCGATTGATATGATTCAGCAAAGTGTCAACAATTGTCATGGGGAAATACAATTTGTCATGATTTAATCCAGTACATACTCGTCTCACGTTTATATTATTGTGACCTGACTGTTAGTGTTGCTCTCCACCTATTGCAACTTATTCAAAATTCTGACCAAATTGCAATTTCTTTTATTAAACCAAATTGTTCAACTGGTCAGAAATTAGAAGAAACTGCTGTAGAAAACCACAGTCAAGTCGTGAAAGTGCAAGGTGATAAAATAAAACATACTTGCAATCCTATAAGACCTTAAATTGCAATAGGTGGAGAGCAACACTAACAGTCAAGTCACAGTAATAATTTAACGTCATTAACGTGGAGTTAAATAACTAATTAGGCTTAATAATCATGCTACACTAAACAATTAACGATCGAAAGACTATCAAAATGATAGTTATGTGTGGCATTGTTATGTGTGGACAGTTGAAGTTATTCTCAGGCACAACAAACTCTGGAAAAAAAGTTTTGTATATGTTTATGTTCCACCGACGTGGAGTTAAATAACTAATTAGGCTTACTAATCATGCTACTCTACCCAATTAACGATCGAAAGACTATCAAAAGGAAAAGTCACGTGTTTGATGCGTCGTCATAAACGTATTTGAATAGGTTGTATATGACATTTACTCGTCTCATGTTCATCATTTTTTAGTTAACGATTAGAATTTACAGTTATGAATCATGACGAACATTAACTAAACCATGAACTTAACTAAAGTATTACACTGATTTTGCTTTTAACTTTAATTATGTGGAAAAGTCGCGTATATAACAGCAACTGTACTTTATAAACATAAAATGATGTAATAGGCAGTAGAAGAACATCTTTATGTGTGAAAAGGAGTAGCTGACTTTTAATGTTGATGGTTTGCGAAGGATTTTATGAGTCATAATATTTCCTATTCAATGAAAAACAAATACGTACATGTATACATAATTGCAATATACAATGCTGCTGACATGGCGAAGTTTGCTTCTATATTTGCTACTATTTGTCATTCAGATTAACTTAACTTATACATAAAAGAATGTGTGTGATATACGTCAATGAGCCAGCAACCCAACTATATATTCATTAATTTGTACAAATAACAACATACAATTTCATTAATTGCTATTATTTGTCATTCAGATTAACTTAACTAAGTCATGACCAAATTGCACTAAATCTAACAAAATCATTTAACCATAGATGTATAAACCCATAGATAAAGCTCGTCAAAAGTTCCCTACTGTTCTCTATTGTTAGATAAAAAGAACCATGACCAAATTGACTGTCTTTGATGTTTCATGTGTGTTGTCCTCAATCAAGTAACTCTAGCTACATCTCTTATCTGTTGATCTGTATTGACCGGTACAGCAGAATAGATTTTCTTAATTGTCTTCTCGAGTTATGTCCCTTCTGTTGTGAGAGTATGTCTATTTTTAGCGCACTGGACAGACAAATAAAATGGTGAAAAAATGGATGAAATCGGTCAGAAATTGCGCATTTTACAAGGGAAATATTAGCTTCGGGTTTAAGTTTTTGATCAAGGTAGTTTTTGATGAAGTTGAAGTCCAATCAACTTGAAACTTAGTACACATGTTCCCTATGATATGATCTTTCTAATTTTTATGCCAAATTAGAGTTTTGACCAAAATTTCACGGTCCACTGAACATAGAAAATGATAGTGCGAGTGGGGCATCCGTGTACTATGGACACATTCTTGATTTTAACAAAAATGAATGTATTTATATTTTATGGAGTTAATATGTTTAATGGAGAAATACTGAATTTAGTTTAATGTCCATCATTTAAGTCATTTTAAAAATTGTAAAAAAATACTATAACAAATTAATCTTAACCATGTTAATTGACTTAAAAAAAGAAACCAACAATCATGACAATGTTTGAATTTATTTTGATTGTCATGGTTGTTATAGTAAACAAATTTTTAAAATTAAAAAAATATTAGGCGGATGGGGCCCACAAAAAAATAGGGGTGACAGTCGCAAATAATAAAAAGCTGAACTAAAGCACTAATAATATGCAAAACGAGATCCATCGCCATTCCCCTTGAATCCATCCGACCTTGCGTAACCCTGATGAGAGATAAGGGGACACAATATTATTGCTATACACTATGAATTTTCGCAGTCCCACATTCTGTCGATACATATATTTTGGCATTGCCCAATATCATATTTTTCTCTGACTGTTAATGAAGTTTTTACAATAAATCTATTGGATGCTGAACGTGTACTAATTGATATTTTAATCTTGAGTTAGATACATGATTTTGTATTACTTGTTATTGGCTTTGAATTAGCTTTCAGTAACCGCTAGTAATCTCAGATCTGCACTTTGTGTCTTTAGTATTTTTGTTGTTTTAATGTCCCCCGCGCAACGTGTTGCTGGGGGACATAGAAATACCGGGCGTCCGTCCGTCCGTCCGGTCTTGTTAGCGCTCTCACGTGTTCAATTCTTGCCATATTTTTATGAAACTTATATCATAGTTTACATGTAATATCAGCAATGTTTTGGACGAGTTCGAAAATCAGTGCCGATTAATTATTTTTAAAAGAGTTATGCCCCTTTGAAGCATTGATTATATGGAAAATTGCATCGTTAAAGCACTCTCATTTGTACAATTCTTGTCAGATTTGTATGAAACTTATATTGTAGGTTTATATTAGCAATGTTTTGGACGAGTTCGAAAATCAGTGCCGATCAATTATTTTTAAAAGTTAAGCCCATTGGAAACATTAATTATATGGAAAATTGCATCGTTAGCGCTCTCATGTGTACAATTCTTGCCAGATTTTTATGAAACTTGTACCATAGGTTTATATCAGCAATATATTTAAAGAGTTCGAAAATCAGTACTCTGATGTGTACAACTCTTGCCAGAAAATTACGAAACTTATATCATAGGTTTATACCAGCTATGTCTTTGACGAGATCGAAAATCAGTGCGAATCAATTATTTTTAAAAGAGTAATGCCCCTTGGAAATATTGATTATATGGAAAATTGCCGTATGAGCGCTCTAATGAGTACAATTCTTGCCTGATTTTTATGAAATTTATATAATAGGTTTATATCATCATTGTCTCTGACAAATTTGAAAATCAGTGCCAATCAATTATTTTATAAAAAGTTATGCCCCTTGGAAATATTGATTATATGGAAAATTGCATTGTTAGCGCTCTCATGTGTACAATTCTTGTCAGATTTTTATGAAATTTATATTATAGGTTTATATCATCAATGTCTCGGACAAATTCGAAAATCAGTGCTAATCAATTATTTTTAAAAATTTATGTCCCTTTCGATATATTAATTTTAACAGAAATTGCATTGCATTTGCTCTGAAGCCTTAATTTCTCTAAGTTATTTATAAAAAGTTTTAAAGAACAAAAAAAGAAATGTTTTTTTAAGTTATTGCCCTTGTACCTTGGATAGATAAAATGTGTGCAACGCGGGGGACATTGGAACTCTGTTCTTTTATTTATCTTTGTATCGATATGATGATCTTAGGTAAGCCATTTTCATTTTTATAGTTTGTACTTATTTTATGCTGTTACACCACAGTACCAGAAAAAGGGGAGGGTTTGGTGCCCGCAAACAAGTTAAACCCCGCCATATTATGTATGTGCCTGTCCTAAGTCAGGATCCTGTAATTCAGTGGTCTTCGTTTGTTTATCATTCTTGTTTTTCATATATTTTTTTGTACATAAATCAGGCCGTCAGTTTTCTCGTTTGTTTTACATTTGTCATTCCGGGGCCTTTTATAGATTGCGGTATGGACTTTGCTTATTGTTGAAAGCTGTTCGGTGACCTTTAGTGTCATTGGGTCTTTGTTGGAGAGTTATCTCATTGGTAATTATACCACATCTTCTTATTTTTATACAGGGTATTATCGAATTCGACATGGTTGACATCACAGTTATGATGATTTAGACGAATAAACACATTATCAAATAGAACTTCCTTCTCTGTTATCCGCACACGTGGTGATTCGAATATCAAGTAAACATTACTCACCTTGAGTTTGGCGGATATTCCTTGTCACGGAGTCTGCAATTACGACAAGTTTCTTTTTTGCAGATATTTTCTGGCCTCTGCCTTGGACATTCCCACGATGCATCGCAATTACACAAACATCTGAACCGTTTACAGCCAAGTTCCAAATGAAATTCAGAGTTCCCCTCGTAAAATTGTTCAGCGATATTACATTGCATACAGCGTCCTCTCCTATCTGCGTCTGAAACAGCCACTCCTCCACGTCTTTCTTCATAATCAAACACTGTAGTTTGCGATAAATCTTTTGTTTCGGTGGTACTGGTTTCAGTGACGCGAGTAGTAGTAGTTGTTGTTCTTGACCCACCTCCGGCCGTCTGCCGAGTGTCTGTGGTTGTTGTTCGAGTACCTCCACTAGTGATCTCTTGACTAACCGCTGCTGTCTGGCATGCTGTGGCAGTCACTTTACCTGCAGAGTCACAAATATTTTCTGGTTTATCTGTCTGACAAGCATAACGCCCGGTACAATAACATTGACATTTATATCGTTTACAACCACGGTCTAGACAGAAAGATACTCCGATCTGTCTTTCTATTCTATCGGCAATACATGGCTTGCAGTCTTTTTTCTCTGTTTTTGTTGAAGAAACGGAAGTGGAACCAGTGCCTGTTTGAGTTGACGTCGTTCTAGTATTGTCTGTTTGCGTTGACGTCGTTCTAGTATTGTCTGTTTTACATATGTTTACTCCAGTACTTAAACAATCAAATTTGCCGTTGCAATGGCAATGACATCTTTGTCTTAAACATCCACTTTCCCGTTCGAATTTAGAATTTGGGGCATACCGTTCACCGTCAAGTACGCAAGCTTTGCAACGTTCGCCTCGATCATTTTCACAAATATCAACGGTTTTACTTTGATCGCATTTTAATCTGTCTCTACAGGAACAAGAACAAGTCATTCGGTAACAACCGCGATCAATTGTGAATGTTGTACCTGCTTGATGTGATTGTCCATCTACTTCACACGGTGCACACGTGTCTAGCTGACTACGATCTTCAGTAGAACAAGTATTTTGCGCTTCTGAACATCGATATGTTCCGTCACAGTCACATTGGCAGCGTTGTTTTCTGCATCGAGTAACCAAATCAAACAGAGTGTTCGGTTGGTATTGTTGACCTCCTATAACACACTCAGTACATCTTGGTTTATCCCGTTCACAATTAAACGCAACAGTTTGGACACACCTTGGACTACCGTCGCACATACATCGGCACTGATGAGAGATACAATCTTTCTCATAATTAAACATTCTATTGCTTCGGTATGTTCTACCTTCTACGACACAGTCACGGCATTGCGGCTCTACGAGACATGCACTTAGATCATGAGGTCGACAGATTGCTCTACCGTAACAATTACATTGACATTTCCAAACAGCACAACCTCTTCTAAACGTAAAATCTGAATTGCCTGGATATTTCTTTCCATCTAAACCAACACAGTGGTAACATATAGACCCATCGGGACCAATGACACTAGTACTTCCGCCACCTGATAAAACAGTCCTTGTACCAGATCCACCACCTCCTGTTACAACCACGCGTGTTTCTTTCGTTACCTCTCGTGTTCCACCACCGCCACCTCCAACGAGAACAGTTCTTGAAGTTGTTCCCGATGAACTGCCACCTCCAACAACAGTTCTTGATCCCGTTAAACCAGCATTACCACCTCCTCCAACGACAACAGTCCTTCTCTCGGTTGTTTCTCTACCTCCTAGAACCACTGAAGCAGATCCTGTTCGCCCCGAATCCCTACTACCACTGACAACAACTGTTCGGCTTCCTCCGCCTCCACCACCAGAGACAATAGTTTCGGTTTGTCTTCCACCTTCAACAACAACCGTTCCGCCTTCCGTTCTGGTGACTGATCCACCTCCAGTAACAAAATCAGACTGAACAACAGTTATAACAGAGCCACATACATTCTCTACAACGGACTGGCATTGTGGACGACCATTACATTCACATTTACATCTATATCGCTTACACTGGGATGATATTTCGAATTCTGAATTTGCTGCAAATACAGCATTGTTGAACTTACAATCGATGCAATTACCTCGAGAGACTGATAGTTCTACGTTCCCACTACAGCCAGTTATAATAGAAGAATCAAATCGGTATCCACCATTACAGTAACATCGAGCATATTGTCTGGTACATTTTTCTTGGTACTCAAATTGAGAGAATCCGGGGTAGACACTGCCACCAATTGTGCATTCACTGCACCAGGAATTCGGTAAGTTCGTTACACTGCTAATCAAAAACTTCTGGAAGTGACTATTTGAACATGCGTTTATAGCCAGACGAGACGGGCAAATCCACGAACCATCACAATTACACGAACATTCAAAGGTGACACATCCCCATGTTAGTTTAAACGAACTCTGGCTGGCATATCGCGTTCCTCCAGCTAGACAAGCTTTGCATCCACTAGTTTCTAATAGCTGACTTCCGCAAATGTACCGTGCTCCAGTTTCAGAACATCTCCAGTTTCCATTACAGTCACATTCACAGTCAAATCTCCAACAATCTTGTTGTATTTCAAATCGACTGTTTCCTTGCTGTTGTTGACCGTAGACGTCGCAATAGTCACAACCGGTAGTTTCATTTCGACGACAGGTATTGATGGCTTTATCTCCTGGACATTCCCAAGATCCGTCGCAATTACATGTGCAATGTTCATATTTTATACAGTTCTCTTCATATGTAAAGGATGTACTTCCTTCGAACTTTTTACCGTTGACAGTACAGAAATAACACCCAGTTTGCATGTTAAGTCTACACATATCTCTAGTCCGATTAGCTGGACAAGACCATCCTCCATCACAACGACAATTGCAATTATATTCGTAGCATCCATCAACATATTGAAATTGTGTATTTCCGGGATATTTCTGTCCTTTTACGTCGCAATCAAGACATTTATCTGTGCACACCCATTTTGCATTATCACGTGGACAATTCCATGATCCATCACAATTGCATGTGCATGGATTCCATTCCCAACAGTCCTCCCGCAACCTAAATTCTGACCTTCCTTTGTATTCCCGACCGTTTATTTCACAGTTTAAGCATTGATCGGTACATATCCATTTTCCATTCTTTGCTGGGCAATCCCATGACCCATCACAATTGCAAACACACGGATCATATATGATACATTCAGTTTGATGACGAAACTGAGATTTACCCGGTATTTTTCTACCATCAACTTCGCATTCATTGCATACATTATCGCATTTCCATTTGCCACTGTTAGACGCACATCGCCAAGAGCCATCACATCGGCATCTACAGTCAGTCCACTCAATACAGTTGTTCCGATAAGTAAAATCTGAGTTTCCTGTATATCTGACTCCATCAATAACGCAACTTCTACATCCCTGATCATCACTTTCTACTAGCTGTCCACCTCCGACTCCGGTACAAGTGTTTCTTGCATTTGAAGCAGGACACTGCCAGTTGCCATCACAACCACAGTAGCAAGAGGAATAAGATAAACATCCGTTTTTGTGGCTGAAATACGTACCTCCGTCAATTTCAGCTCCGTCTACAATACATTTTCTGTTACATGCACTGTTCCTTACATTTTCTATGACGGCACCGCTACCTTGACCTGATTCGTATCCCGACCTTGAAGAACTTGAACTCTGATACGAAGTCCTTCGACTGCTGCTATAAAAGTCTCTGCCGCTTTCCACAGTTCTATCACAAATATTGCGTTCTTTTCTACAGAAAAATTTACCGTCGCACGAGCAATAACATCCTGTCATTTCAAAACAATCTCCATTTTTGTAGTCAAATTCAGTGTTTCCTTCTTTAAATTCTCCAAGAACCCAACAACCTTTGCATACTGCAGCTGCAAAACAATTGAAAAAAAATCATTACATTGGGGCATACCGGTTTTCAAGTTAGAACTTGATAAACATTACAGAACAATTTTGTTTGCCCTCCCCTTATTCCGAAATTCCTTATTTTTTTGTTTTCCTTTAATTTCAGCTATTTTCGTGTTTTTTTTGTGGTATAAATACTTACATAAATATACTAGAAACAACATTTGTATTTTATCAGTGACCGCTGTTGATAGTAAACTAGTAATTGATAGAAAAGTGTTAACAAATGCTATTCCTGGTATATCTAGTATTTAAATATAACACAGAAAAACAAAAGAAATATTGAAATTAAAAGAAAACAAAAACATAACGGATTTTGAAAAAGGGGAGTGGGAAAATGGCAGGACTTTCCCCAAGTTCCTATCAAACTAGCATACTATTGCTAAATTGTATTATATAGAAATAAGAAGATGTGGTATGAGTGCCAATGAGACAAGTCTCCATCCAAGCCACAATGTGTAAAAAGTAAACAATTATAGGTCAAAGTACGGCCTTCAACACGGAGCCTTGGCTCACACCGAACAGCAAGCTACAAAGGGCCCCAAAATGACTAGTTTAAAACAATTCAAACAGGAAAACCAACGGTCTAATCTATATAAAAACGGGAAACGAGAAACACTTAAGAACCACATCAACAAACGACAACCACTGAAACAGGTACCTTGAAGTGTGTAGTTGCTGTTTGATGACCGTTTTGCACAAATTATTAAATAAGAATTAAATCTAACAACTTGAAGTAATGTTTTACGTGTAGTTGTTAAATTATCATTAAATATACAAAGAAAAATGGAAGATTTCTATAGCTCAAATCACTTCTGTTGCGAAAAACTTTGCTTAACTAACAGCAACGCCTAAATTAATTGAGATTGACCATTATCAATAGATTAAATACATGTAATTGATAGAATAAAACTGTTGCAAAGTTATGAACGATTAAAGTCCCGCAACTCTGAAATGGCTGATCTGAACTTGAATTATCAAAATCCCACAGGCAGCTTGCCATAGAATTTCATGTGATTCGTCGAAAGAAAATTTGAGTTATCACAAACAGTCACGGTTTGTATTATTGACGATTTAAGTGTCACAACTCCGGACAACTTATCCGAAAATCATCAAAATCGAAAGCTCGTTTCATATGACTTTAATGAAAACCAGAATTATATAAAAATTTCAAAAGAATTTTATTTATCAGACATACGAAAGTAACCTACTTTTTATACGACCGCAAAAAATTTTTGCGGTCGTATATTGGTATGACGTTGGCGTCGTCGTCGTCGTCGTCGTTGTCGTCGTCGTCTGGCGTCGTCCGGCGTCGTCCGAAGACACATTGGTTTTCGCACTCTAACTTTAGTTTAAGTGAATGGATCTCTATGAAATTTTACCATAAGGTTCAATACCACAAAAGGAAGGTTGGGATTGATTTTGGGGGTTATGGTACCAACAGTTAAGGAATTAGGGGCCAAAAAGGGGCCAAATATAAGCATTTTTGTAACTTCCAGACATAACTTGTGTGTTAGTGTATGGATCTCTCTGACATTGTACCACAAGGTTCCATATCACACAGGGAATGCTGGGATTGATTTTGGGGGTAATTGCCTCAAAATATTAGGAATTAGGGGCCAAAAAAGGGGCAAAAAACAAGCATTTTTCTAGTTTCATGATAATAACTTGTGTGTAAGTGTATGGATCTTTCTGAAATTGTACTACAAGGTTCCATATCACAAAGGGAAAGCTGGAATTGAGTTTGGGGGTAATTGCCCAAAATGTTTAGGAAAAAGGGGCCAAAAATAAGCATTTTTCTAGTTTCCAGACAATAACTTGTGTTCAAGTGTATGGATCTCTCTGAAATTGTACTGCAAGGTACCATACCACAAAGGGAAGGCTGGGATTGAGTTTGAGGATGAATCATAAGGGGGTTCAAAAAATTTGGGGGGGGATTTTTTTTTTTTTTTTCCTTTTTTTTCTTTTTTTCCTTTTTTTTTTCTTTTAAAATTTTCCATTTTAAGTTGGTTATTTCTGTTTTATATTTAAAAGCAAATAATAATGATATAGTAGGAGATACACACCAAACAGGATGTGTAAATTATTATATAATAAGTATTGTGCAATAGCAAGAAATTTTCAATTGCACAGTATTGCACAATAGCAAGAAATCTTCAATTGCACAGTATTGCGCAATAGCAAGAAATCTTCAATTGCACAGTATTGTGCAATAGCAAGAAATATCCATTAGCACAATATTGCGCAATAGCAAGAAATTGTCAATTGTACAGTATTGCGCAATTGCAAGAAATATTCAATTGCACAGTATTGTGCAAAAGAAGATACTTCGTATAAGTTGCTTATTTCTTGACCAATTTCAATGGGGTTTTATTCTTGAATTCTTTGGGTTCTTAAATATGCTGATTCTAACCGTGTATTAAGTTTTTGGATTTTGGGACCCGTTTTTAAATTGGTCCACATTGAGGTCCAAAGGGTCCAAAATTAAACTTTGTTTGATTTCATCAAAAATTGAATTATTGGGGTTCTTTGATATGCCGAATCTAACTGTGTATTTAGATTCTTCATTTTTGGTTCCGTTTTCAAATTGGTCTACATTAAGGTCCAAAGGGTCCAAAATTAAACTTAGTTTGATTTTAACAAAAATTGAATTCTTAGGGTTCTTGGAACAAAAAAAATCGTATTTTTAAATTTTTATTTAACTTGTAGCTAATGTCCCATTAAGGATATTATACCGTTTTGTAGTTTCAATGCTAAACATATGGAAATTTGTTAAAAAAAACCCTTGTACTCCTATATTTGACATATCGGTGCTTAATAGATATAGGATTATTGCATGCATATATACATAAAGATGTATAAAACTGGACTTATTCAAGTACACCTACTAGGGTGCGCTCGACTTAAGTTACTCAGGACGAGGTATTTTGGATTGTAAATTTTTGTAGACAATAAACGCTAGCACATCATGGACAAACAAGTATGTAATCTATGTTTATAATTTTATAACGAAAATCTCTGTAATAAGGTCTGTGGGCAGAGGCGGATCCAGCCATTTCTAAAAGGGGATTCCAACCCAGGATAAACAGGTGGATGGGGGTTCTAACCATATGTCCCCATTCAAAAGCATTGATCGTCAAAAAAAGGGGGCTTCCAACCCCGACCCCCCCTCCTTTGAATCTGCCACTGGTGGATTTATTTGAAAAAAATCTTGGCTGTATTTGCCACCATATCCCCATTTTCTATTAAATGCAATGAAATGTTTAACAGTATTGCTTTGAACAACGTTTCCTTTTTGGTACATGTACAAATTGTTACGTCACTTTTATCCTGTATTTTTACTGTTTTGATATTGTTGCACTTTGAAAATCTCGTAACCAAAGGCCTACATAAGAGGTCATCAACCTTAAGGTTCATGTGGACCCTTCGTTTAAAATGGCTGCATTTTCACCTCAAAATTTACTCTGAGTACAGACAAACCTGTGCATCTGGAAAAGTTTTAAGGCATAGCATGCCCTAGATAAATAAAATTCAAATATATTTTATGTTTTAGAAAATTAAAAACTTAACCGGATTTTGCAGTGCACTTTTTTTCATTCCACCAGAAGGTGCCAAAATAACCAAAGTTGGGAAAGTGGTTTGAGAACTTCCCCACAGGTAATAATTGAAGTGAACTGTTTTGATTGACATGGACAATAGATGGACAATAGATACCTGACAATAATTGGTGATTTAAACTGTGTACCTGAGTGGACCATATCAAGTGAAACTCAACTGTTTGTTAATTTTATCATCTTCTGCAGGGACGAAAAAAAGTGCACTGCTAAATCCAGTTAAGTTTTAAATTTTCTAAAACATACAATGCATTAGAAGTTTATTTATCTAGGGCATGCTATGCCTTAAAACTTTTCCAGATGCGCAGGTTTGTCTGTCCTCAGAGTAAATTTTGAGGTGAAAATGCAGCCATTTTAGCCAAAGGGTCCACATGAACCTTAACACCAAACATATGAAAATGTCAAAGTTTTTGATGTTTTATGTTCCAAAAACACTGAAATTTAAAAAAAATCGAAAGGTTACATTACCGTAGTTATTCTTTATGAAACATTCCTTTGTATTAAGGTTCATCATAACAAATGGAAAAAAATGGCTGTATTTACACCTCAAAAACTACTCTGAGTACAGACTAACCTGTGCAGTTGGAAAAGTTTTAAGGCCTGGCATCCACTAGATATATAAAAGTTAAATGCATTTTGTATTTCAGAAAGTTAAAATCTAATAAGGATTCGTGAAAGGATACTTGAGTTAACATGAGATGTATCAAATGATGACAAGTTTTGACGATTAAAGTCTGGTAACACTGTAATTACTAATCAAAGGTGCGTGAGGACAGGAACCTGCGTCGATCCCCATAGACCCTTCCCTTCAGTATCATAAATCCCCGATTTTCCAATATATATCAGTTATTTGTACTATATGAATACCAATATACCATAGTTTTACTCTGAATATAAATGTTTACAAATATGTGATTTATTGGAAAATCGGGGATAATTGATGCCGAAAGGGAGGGACTAAGGGGTACTCAACACTGGGTCATGTTCTCACGCACCGATGTTATTGATATCACCACGCTTTTAATTACACTACATTACTGTGTTGTTCACTCAGTGTCACTTAACAAAAAATAAGTCAAGTATTAAATACTTAATCTTTTTTATTTTCTTGTATATATAATATGCAGGTCTATGTGTTTATTCCAATTGATATTCAGACTCTAAATTTGCTTAATATATGGGGCTCTTGAAGCATATACTTAGTAACCACCTGGTTTTTCATGTTTCATGACCTAATAAAATTTTATCGACGGTCAATCGTGACTCCCGAAGGCTCCATTAAGGATTACATGTGTGGGTCTCACGGTAGGTATAGTGTCAGGCTAGGATCGTGGATTTCGAGTGATTTGATC